TCACCGCACGCCCCTGGCCCTTCACACAGTCACCGATCGCCGCACGCCCCTGACCCGTCACACAGTCACCAATCACCGCACGCCCCTGGCCCGTCACACAGTCACCAATCACCGCACACCCCTGGCCCGTCACACAGTCACCAATCACCGCACGCCCCTGGCCCGTCACACAGTCCTCAATCACCGCACGTCCCTGACCCGTCACACAGTCACCAATCACCGCACGCCCCTGGCCCGTCACACAGTCACCAATCACCGCACACCCCTGGCCCGTCACACAGTCCTCAATCACTGCACGCCCCTGGCCCGTCACACAGTCACCAATTGCCGCATGCCCCTGGCCCGTCACGTGGTCACCGATCGCCGCACGCCCCTGGCCCGTCACACAGTCATCAATCACCGCACGTCCCTGACCCGTCACGTGGTCACCGATCTCCGCACGCCCCTGGCCCGTCACGCAGTCATCAATCACCGCACGCTCATGGCCAGTCACGCGGTCACCGAACAACGCACGCCCCTGGCCCGTCACACAGTCATCAATCACCGCACGTCCCTGGCCCTTCACGTGGTCACCAAACAACGCACGCGCCTGGTCCGTCACGCGGTCACCGGTCCCCGCACGTCCCTGCCCCATCACGCGGTCACCGAACAACGCACGCGCGTGGCCTGACACACGGTCACCGAACAACGCACGCCGCTGGCCTGGCACATGGTCACCGAACAACGCACGCCCCTGGCCCGTCACGCGGCTACAGCCGCAGACCGGAACCTGGCCACCCCTGTGACTCACGTTCGGAAAACCGGCGCGGAAGCCGGCGGACATCGAGCGCCGCCGTCTGCGCGTGCACCGCCCGCGTGTCTCGCTCCGTGGCCTCTCCGCTTCCGGTGCCGAGCGACTCGTTATGCCGCGGACTCGCGCCACTGCCTGCCATGATCCAATCACCACTGGGCCAGTCACAGTAGTGATGTACGGCCGATGGAGTTGCATTGGTCTGCTCTGGTGCCAAAAGTTCATCCGGGGTATTTTGTCGCCTGATTGGGCCCGTTTCGGTGCATTGCGCCATGAAGCCTCGGGCATACTACTGTGCAGGACCCTGTTTGAACCGGTGGACTTGCCGGAGGGGGGGAGTTGCTCTGCCGCCCAACAATGCAATCTGTCCTCTGGCTCTGCATAGATCTGGCGTGGCGGCCTGTGTCTGGGGAGCTAATTGGGTTGTGCTCTTCCCCTGTAGGCATGCGCTCTCGGCACAATGTTGTTACCTTCTCGTCATGGTCGGCAAGACCTAGCTTCATATAAAAGCCCAGCATGTGAAGTGCCTAATTCCCCCGTTTTCCGGCGTGCTTTCTGGATCGTAAAAGCAACTTCAGGGTTGTTTGCTGTGTGTTTGCGCGGTCATCGGTGGCTTTGCTCTCTGCACGTACCATCGCTGCTGCGCGCACTCCCACGACGGCAGTCTTGCAGCGCTTTTTTCTGAAGGAAACTGTGTTGAAGGTCGCGGGAGTCGACGTCTCCCGTCAGATTTCATGTTAGCACCTGCACCTGGCTACAGTCGTGCGTCAAAGTGGCTACCATGTAACACATCGGGAACAGCGCCGTGTTACCAGCTGATCAAACCATGCCTGAGCGGTGCTCAGTGGCTGGTTGTCAACGAACTGTCGATGCTAAAAGCAGATCCTCACGCTAGTTTTTCCCTGCTGGGGCGATAGAGGCGAACTATCATTAGACGTGCAATCCGACTTTGAAAGCCATTTATTGCCCTGCGTCACAAAAGGTTGCAGTTGCCCGCATTTCCACGAAAACAAGGGACTGCGACCCCTGTCTCCCCCGCCCCCAAGACGTGACGGGTGCGATTCTGGCGAGCAAAGTAGCCACGCAGTTCGAGAAACAATGTAACTGTTGTTTTTTTCTGGCATGCATGGCTCCTCTTTACATGGGCGCAAGGCGTTGGTTTTTGTTCGCGTCGACCACCGCCTTCGTCCTTGTTTGGTTCCGGAGGAATGCTTCCAGCTTCCGGAGCTCCCACGTTGTCCGTGGCAGAAGCTCGAACATTGTTGTAGAATATGCAAACAAGGATATGGATGCTACCGGAAATCCCAGTGGCAGTCAGGCTCCCAACATTGCAAAAGTGGCGCGCGTGCTTCAGCGCACATGTTCATTATGTTTACGGCTCAAATGTCCCCCCTAGATATGGCGCGCCCCTGTCCAACGAAGACAAGGACTGTTTTCTAACGGGGACAACTGGACATGTAGCTGGACATGGTACGTCCCTGTCGCTGGCACCGTTTTAGACACGCCGATCGGTCGCGCCTGGTTTCATCTACCGTTGTAAGCTGCGACAGGCGCGCCAAGCTCCACCGGAGAGGAGGGTCGTGACGTGACGTGACGCAGACGTCACGCGCCTGCCAAGTCCGCCGAGAGCCAGCTGTCGAATCCCCGCCGCGTCCCACACCACTGTTTGTGACGTCACACGTAGCGTTGCGACCGGGAAGACGTGACGTCACACATCGCCACCGCGCCCGGAGACGCATACAGCGTGACAGGCGCCGTGCTTCATCGGAGCGTGACAAGTGACGTCAGCGGCGCACGCCCTGCGGCGGCCGTGCGCCACCTGCGACCCTCCTGGCGGCTGGCGCCGCTCACCACCTCCCTCCCCTCCCCCCGCCGGTGACGTCGGCCGGCTGGGAGGCGGTCGGGGGCGGACGCCGACGTTCGGCGAAATAGCTGCCGGGATCCGTCGAGACGGTGGTGGTGGCGCCGGCGGGGCTGCTCGGTGCGCCGGCATCGATTGCGTCTGGCGGCGGTGGCGGCGGGCCCACTCGGTCTGCTCGGGCGCCCGTCGGTCGACGCGACGCCACCGGCCCGGCTCGACTCTCTGCCGACGGCTCGCCACGGCCGGCCCGCCGGCTGCAGGGGCATCGCCACGAGAGGCACGCCGGCTCGTATTGGGATGGGTGCGCTGTGGTTTTGTGCTGCCCAGCAATGTTTTACGGTTCGCGCAGCAACGCGTGGATGATTTGCAAGGAGGCGAGGTTTGTTCGTTATTGCTGAGACAAGGATGTTCTTCGTTGCTGAGACAAGGTTTGTTCCTCGTATTGCTGTGAAATTTAGCGCCATGTAGTCCCAAACACTTCTCTTTGTCGCGAACATAACACACTTATGAATTTGCCATTCGATGTTTTTGTTGGACGCTAGGCTCAAACGCGTGGAGACGTGGAGACGCATCCCCTCTATGATCGCTCGCGGCTAATTCAGGTTGATCTTCGGGATCACCCGCTGTATCCTGAATTTAAGCTGAAAATTGGTCTTGGCCTTTCTTCCTTTGTCCACCACCTGCTTGATCAGCCCCCAGAGCTCCCGGATAGGGCGAGGCTGGGGGGGGGGGGGGGGGGGGGGGGGGGGGGAGACGTGAAGCGGAGTCCCACCACGTGCCACAAGAGGCATCTGCGCCTGCTTTAGAAGTTGCAGCATTTTCCCGGCATATGGACGCTGCCGGGTCTGGCCAGAAGGCAAGGTCGCGGTCAGCGTAATGTTCGTCACGAATGGGGCGAAGACGTTGTGCAAACACTTTTCCCAGTAAACTTTCCCTCCTACGTTGCTCTTACTGGTAGAGCAGCTGGGGAAGTTGACCCCTCGGGCTCATGGCGAGCCATGCCGTACGTTTTCGCGGATCTTGGATTCGGACTGAAACTTGACGTAAGATGGAGCGCCCCCATCAGCAACGGACGTAAAATGGGGCCCGTCATCCCCCAGTGCCTCAGCTGGCCTTTATGGGTTCGTGGGAGCCTTTAAAGCTAAAGCCTGTTTTGCATCTCAGTTTCTTGGGTGCCGTATTCTTCTTCCGGTACTTGAGAATAGTCTCCACTAGAATTTACTGGACGTACGACCGTCAGATACCGACATTTTCTGGCCGTAAGGCTATGAGAGATTCCGAGTTTGCCCTGTGCCCCACGTTTTGATTGCTTTCGAACATTTTCAGGCATTTTCCCCACAGACTTTCTTGACTTTTATGTTCAACGTTGGCAAAGGCCTGTGGTCTGGCTGCAGTTTTGTAGACCGCAAATTTGGTTATTTTAAAGGGCATAATTTTCCGCGCTACGCTGCCTTCCTAATGCTGGTATTTTCTCTACGAAATTCGCGATTAAGTTACGGAAGACCTTTGTACGGAAGCGCGACATACTGATCACAGGAGATTCACAGACCTGCACAATTCCACCCACTTAGGGAACATGAGCACGTGCTCTTAGTGACGATATTCGCTAGGATATATCGATTCGTTTATCGTTTGCATTATTGCAAACCATCCACACTGCACACAGCTTGCGTTGAGGGAGTGCGCTAGCTGTAAGCAGCGGAGCTTTGGCAGCACTTGGTGTCTTACCAGTCCTGGCGTCGGAGATTTTCAGCCCGGGGTGACCTACTTCGGGCGCGGCACTCGCCGCTTCCGCTGTCATCCGCCCGCTCGCGCCGATGCCGCTCCTCTACCGCTGCCCGTGTATGGTGTCCTGCATTCTGCCTGCATTTCCCAGAGCTGTTGCTCGCTGCGGGAGCGGATGCAGGCCCGCGGCTCCGGCAGTCCCAGGAGCCCCTCCGCGCTTTCACTGGCGCTCCCCGCCCCTGACGAGGTGCTGCTGGAAGTGAGATGCCCCGGGTCAGAAGGCGATCCCCGAAGCAAAACCCGGCCGGCCGTGCCCGTTCCCGTGCTCAGCCGCGGACGGTGATCCTATCCAGCGGGCGGGGATCGCAGCCAGCGGGTGGTGATCACAGCCAGCGGGTGGTGATCCCAGCCAGCGGACGGTGATCTTGGCTAGCAGGCGGTGATCCTAGGCAGCGGGCGTTGATCTAAGCCAGCAGGCGGTGATCCTAGGCAGCGGGCGGTAACCCTAGCCAGCGGGCGGTGATCTTGGCTAGCAGGCGGTGATCTAGGCCAGCAGGCGGAGATCCTAGGCAGCGGGTGATCCCAGCCAACGATGCGACGATCCGGGCGGGCGGGCGGGCGGTAATGGCCAGCGTCATGGTTACGTCAGCGGGTGTTGAGCAGCTGGTCACGGCCCGCGGGCGGTGATCCCGCGGCACCGGCGTGGCTGCCTTGTCGGCGCCGATGATCCCGCCGCGAAGTGCGCCGATCGATGGGCGAGATTTCGCCGAATCGCGGGCGAACGCCCTAGCTGGAACGGTTATCAAGTTTCCGCGCGCTGCTCGGAGCCGCCGCTCTGCCGCCGCCTTGTTAGATTCAGTTCGGCGTAAGAGACGTCTGCGGCGCATGCGAGACGAGGGAAAGGTCAGCCCACAGCTTTTCTATCGGGCGTCATTGAGCCGCGGGCATGACAGCGGCGCTTGAGGTGCGCACTGGCTGAACAAAGACGTGCATGGTCTAATTCTGGTTTTGAATATGCACGACTGGTTTCTGGTGTGACCACTGCAGTCGGCGCGCCCGAAAACCTCTAGGAACAACAAAACAAAGGTGTGCCCATGGTTTATCGTGGCGAGGGGATCACAGCATCATCCCTCTGCGGTTTGGAAAGGCGACTGCCAGCCTCCGGAGGCGCTATTTGGTGAGCCCCACATGAGCGCCGGGTGACGAATTCGTCCCTGTATAGGCCACTGGTGTGCTTTCCCGAAATCGCCGCCTCCGGGGCCGGCGGCGAGGACGCGTGCGTCCTGCGTGGCTCCCGACGGTGACTGTGGCCGTGGCGCCGGGGTGGGCCGTCACCTCAGAGGGCCACGCGGAGAATGGAGGCGTGGTTCTCACTTGGGCGCTGCAGGCGGGGATGCGCTTTTTCAACATCTGCATGTCGCAGCCAGCCGTGGATTGCGGGTTGGCATATCCAGAGAGCGTAAACAGTGTGTATTTGAAGTCGTTGATGTGTCGCCCCTATATTCATTACTTCCTGTAACCAGGTTAAGTTTATCCGGCGCGTGTCAACATGTATTTTCCAATCCTGGCATCCACTTCATTTGGCCAGTACCGCGGCGCGAGAAAGCAATGCTCGCGGGCATGATCTACGAACATTTTCTTGCTGATGTTCGCTGGTACGCAAATTGGGTGCACCTGTATGCCCGCTTGGAGGTTATCGGTGGGGTTCCCTGGTAGACTGACTCAATCATGCTCGCAACGCTAGCGGGCTGCCTGCTACGTAGAGCTCAGAAGAACGCGCATTGCCATTAATGTTATCATTGGGCTGAGGCCACGTATGAACTTGATGTTAATAATAGATACCTTGGGATTCTGTTTTTTTTTGGGGGGGGGGAGGGACATTGTGATTTCTTGAAATAACCGACCTTCAATATGCCGGGGTGTACCGGTTATACGAAGATTTTCAGCAGTCGGTGGGATATTTTTGGAAATACTGGATGTTTCCACCAGCGCGCATGGTCACAAGAAGACTGGTAACAAGAAGATCTTAATGGTTACGTGAACACGAGTGAGCTGTGTAACCGGTTGGTCCGAGAAAAAAATGTCGATAGAATTACCTGCATCCAAGCTGCACGCCTCCACAGTTCGAAACAGCGGTGAAACAAACTGTGTCGATTTATGCCACTCCATGGAGTTCGGCACATGTCTGCAACGCCGGCAAAATCTGGCGGTGTTTTTTCGTACAGTCATTACCATGCCGGCCATTCGTGACGCGTGTAACCGGGATTACCCTGAGAAGTGGTGGTGCAGCATTCACGGCTTTTAAGAGGATTTGCGTATGAATGACTGGCGCCGGCCTGCCGAGTGCTGGGCGGGTAACACGGCTTCTTTTCCTGTCCCGGATGTGTCGCCTGGGATTCGGTCGACACGATCGCTCCTCGTGCTCCGCGATCTTTCGGACGGTTTTGTTAACTCGTGCAAGATTGTGCACGATCGTGCGATCGTTGTGTCCTATCCGTGACATCATGAATGAGACATATGCGGGTGGCTTGGCGTCCCTTCCGATGCCTGGCTGCTTGTCATAGCAGCAGATGCTCACTGTCGTTGATGCGGTTTAATAGCCCAGGGCCAAACAATGTAAAAGTGGTGTGAACAAAACAAAGAAGAACATAAAACCGGTCCTACATATAAGTTGTTTTAGCCTTCTATTAGTATGGGGAAAGAGGGTGTTCACCGAAATTTTGTCCGGATGTATGATTATGACTAAAAATAAATGAATGGTATGGTGTACCGATGCAGCACATTTACAATGATTTGCCTAGCGTATGCCAAATCAAAGCTCGACCACATGGTTTAGAGGTAGAGTTTTGTAATTAGCTCTTAAAGTGTCCACTAATTTTTTTAGTCGGTGGCTACCACCTCCACGAACATATCCTGGTTCGCTCATTCTGTCTCTCGAGCTTCGCCGTGCGCTTGGATGTCTCAGGCATGCTATCTGGCTGTCCGGGCCAGCTTGCGTGTGCTGCGATGTTTGGTGCACCTCCGAAGCTGCGTGCCCTCGCACACGGGAACGCCTCGGGGACTACTAGGTTTAGTCGTAGCTCTTTGCTAACCCGGGGCGTCTTGGGCCGTTGCATTTTGGATGAAGCTCTACCGTGTCAAGGGTCACACACCAGTCCGAAATCATGCCTATGTGTGAAGCCACTTGGCTTTTTGGACTTCCGGTGGTCGTGTGCCCTTGGCCTGACGCTTCTGACCTTTGCCTGGGTTTGTTCTGGGGCCAGTTGCTTTTTCGTCAGCACTGCGATTACTTTGCGAATACTGCGAATGCTTATTACTTCTTATTACTCGAGCCATCTGGGCATTCGCTTACCACCTGGGGTCTGGTTTCGCGGGCGCGACTACAGGTGGGCCTGGGCTCATCAAGATACTGACGACGGGGCTCCTGAATCTCCGAAACATTGGTATCTTTCAGCTGAAGCCATGACCTTGCACGCTGTTATGAATGTTGTAGCCACCAGGACTGTCTCCAGGGGCTGGGCAGTAATGTGCGCCGCTCAACGTGTGAGCAAAAAGAGGCCGGTCCACAGGTGTGTCTTAGCCCGTGAGCTTGTGCGCTGCTTCGCCGCCTGCCACGGCGGCGGAGGACGTGGCACGAGAACCGGTCATACCAAGCCGGGAGCGATCGTGTCACTAAGACCACCTACCCTGTCGGCCGCGCCGCGCCACGTCCCTTCTGCCACGTCTGATGTCGCGTTCCTCTTGCAGACGGCATCACGTACTATCACAAGAAGTTCAAGATCCTGTCGTGCCTCTCAGAGCCGGGCGGCTACGGGTCGGCGGCGGCGCGGCCGACGCCACCGGCCAGCGACGGCCGCCACCTCTTCACGGCCGCCGAGCCGGCCGAGCAGCGGTACCTGAGCGGCGGCGAACCGGCCGAGCGGGGCCAGTTCAGCGCCGCCGCCGACCCGGCCGAGCGCGCCCAGTTCAGCGCCGTCGAGCCGGCCGAGCGGGGCCACTTCAGCGCCGTGGACGCCGCCGAGCGGCGACACCTGAGCGGCTCCGAGCCCGCCGAGCAGCAGGCCACTGGTGATGAGGCGGCGATCAAGGCCGCGCGAAAGGCCGGCAAGTACCAGTGCACATTTTGCGGCAACTTCTTTGCGAAGCCGAGCGTGTTGGACAAGCACATCCGTTCACACACCAACGAGCGGCCCTTCTCGTGCGCCGTCTGCAAGTACTCATTCAAGACCAAGAGCAACTTCGTCAAGCACTGCAAGACGCGCAAGCACGCGGCGCGCAGCGCCGGCGGCGACGGCGGCGACCTGCCCAGCGACGAGGAGGTGACGGACAGCGATGCCAGCGAGGCGCAGGACGACGCCACCTCCGAGACGGACAGCTGGACCGCCTGGGAAGTGGCGGCGCAGACACCGCACTGGCCGATGGAGCCAGCGCCGCCGCCGGAGCCCGGCGAGTCGGCCAGCGGCGGCGCGCCGCGCCTCCACATCAGCCACTCGATCGAGCACATCATCGGGCGGGCGGAGGAGGCGGGCTCGCCGCCCGGCGAGGCGCCCGGCTCGCCCATCGCCAAGGGTGTCGTCAGCCACATCGACAAGGTGATTCAGCTGAACGAGGCGCAGCTAAGCATCACGAAGCGCGCGTTGGACAACTTCGGCCGGCACAGCACGACACTGGGCCGCGAGCGCGAGACGGTGCGACGCGTGGCTTCGTCGGACCCGGCGGCCGGCCGGCGCAGCTCGCTCTACCTGCCGCGGCCGCCGGCTGAGCTGGCGCCGCCGGCGCTGGCGCGGCGCAGCTCCGTCATCGGCGTGGAGGCGCAGCACGAGCGGCCACGTCCGGCGGAGCCGCTGCGGCCCGGGCCGCCGCCGCTGCTGCGCGGCAGCCTCAGCTTTCCCGGTCCGGATGAGGCGCCGCCGCCGGCAGTCGACAGCCTGCACTTCTCGGCGATGCCGCCCAGCCTGCTGGAGGCGCGATGCGTGCGCTGCGGCCTGACGCACCCGGGGCCGTGCCCGCTGTATTCCGACGGCGGCCAGGCCGGCCATATCCTGAAGCGACACCTGTTGTCGAGCGCGGCCGGCGCGCCGCAGCTGAAGCGGCGCCGGCTTTCCTCCGAGGTGGAGCGCGTGGCGGCGGCGCGGTATGATTCGCTAGCGCCGCCGGCGGCCGTGCCTGCAACCGTGCGTTCTCCGTTCGAGGAGCGCAAGAACCTGAGCTACATGGCCGGCGGTCAGGTGATGGTGAATGAGCCGGCCGAGCGGCGCACCTACCGCGTCAACCAGTCCGTCTCCACGTCCGGCGTCAGCTTCTACGTGTCGTCGCCGCCGGCGTGCCAGTCGTCGACGCGCGAGACCAGCCCGCAGGTGATGACCATCAAGTCCAACCTGAACTCGGGCGGCAAGATGATAGAGATGAGCGGCTCGTCGGACAGCAGCTCGGGCGGCTCCCAGCTGGCCACGCCGCGACTGACCGGCTCGGCACCGCCGCTGCAGCGCAACCCTTTCCACTTCAACCAGCCGATCTCGAGCATGCTCACTGGCTCGTTTTATCCGGCCATCCAGGCGCCGAACATCACGCCGCAGCTGGGGCCCATCATGCTGCCTCCGAGCCCTAGCCGGGCGAGCGGTGCCAACAAGCGCTTCTGCTCGCCCAAGTCGCCGTCCGCTAGCGGTGTGCTCAGCCTGCCGGGCCAGGCCGGCCAGCCGGCGGCGGCTGCGGCGCCGGCGCCGCGGGCCGCCGGTGCCGGCGCGCCCGGCAAGAACCTCAAGCTCACCATCCAGATCCCGCGCCACAACTTCCCGCAGCCGGCCGCGTCCACGGCGGCGGCGGCGGCGGCGGCGGCGGCGGCGGCGACGATGACGACGACGACGACGACGACGATGACGACGACGACGACGGCCACGCGCTCGCCGGGCGTGCTGCAGCCGCCCGTCAGTCCCGCGCCGCGTCGCTCACCCTCGCGTCCCGTGCCGCACGTGCCCGGCATGCCGGGCCCGTACAGCCAACCGTCGGAGGTGGCGCCGCGGCCCGGCGAGTGCCCGCCGCCCACGCCGCCGGCGCGGCCGCTGCCCAAGATCCAGGTGCACGAGGCGGAGGCGCCGGCCGCTGGCGGCAAGCCGTCGAAGCCGGCGTCGGTGCCGCGACCCAGCTCGCTACCGTTGCAGCCGGTGCAGTACGTGAACAAGTCGCAGCGCGGCGCGGCGCTCTACAGCCCGGAGACGCCGCGACCGCGCAAGGCCATCCAGCAGACGCACCTCAACGGCAAGTGCTACACCTACATCGGTCACAAGAGCTCGACCAAGCTGTACTTTTGCAGCCTGTTCCAGCCGCAGCCCAACTACGTGGAGCAGAAGTCGGGGCTGCAGGTGTCCATGTACTCGCAATGGAAGCACGCGGAGCCGCCGGCCGACGGCGTGCCCGTCACGCAGGCGTTGGCCACGCTGCGGCTAGCGGTGAACCGCGGCAGCGGCGGCCGCCTCAGCTTCCGCAGCCCCCAGATGGGGTCCAGCGATCCCCGCGTGGCAGCCAGCGGCCTGCGCGCACCCCGCCTCGCCGGCGGCGACAATCAGGTACGCCGCCACCGCCTCCTCCCGCGCCAATCGGTACTGTGCTTTAACGTGCTGATGCGCTGCCTCGCGGCTGTTGGCTGTAGCTTGCAGACTCTGGACTGTTTACGATGTCACTCTGGCGTTGCGTAGCACGCGGTGTTTTACTGCTCGTTAGCCACAAATGCTGACCTTCGCCTGCCTGCAACAACGCACTGACAAGCCGCAATCTGTGTCCAGTTGTATCGTTTTCGCTGGCCTGCATTGCCGCAGGCTGAGTGGGTTACCACGTCAGTCAGGAGATGTGTCGTTGTGTGTCGCATTGTCGTCGCTGCCTTCTCTTGTGACCTTGTGCGAATTTCCTCGTCAAGCCTGTTCGATTGACCGAAGGGACAGTCTCACCGTGCGAACACCGCCCGCCAACCCCCGCTTAAGGTACCGAGAGGTTCCCTCGCGACATGGTACCTCACCACGAGCGACGCACATTCTCTCCGGCATCGGGTCGCCGCGTGCGGCGGCCCCTCGCCGCCGCTCTGGCCTCCTCTGACGCGCAGGCCATGTCCAGCTGGCCGCGTCACCTGTCAGCGCTGACAGGTGACGCAGCCCGGCGCGCTTGCAGACTCTGCGGCCGTCGCCAGGTGATCGCCGATGTCGCGGGCGCGCCGATGGCGGCGGCGGCGTCAGTTCTCCCGCTGACACCAGTTCTCCAGTTCTCCCGCTCGTCTGGACGGGACGTCCTCCCCGCCAGACGGACTGCGCAGGAGAGCGGGATTTGATCCCGGCGCGACGTTTTTGCCGACTCGCTGCAAAGTGATTTCAGCCGGTTTGTGAGCTGTTACCGGTGACGGCTCGCCCACGCTCGGTAGATGTTCTGATCAGGAATTGGATCCTGACGACTTCGACGTGATGAATTCGCTGAACGGGTGCTCAGCACCCCCTGTTATGGTGCCGCGCCGATGTTTATAGTGGCAATCCTGCGGGACGGCTGACTGTGCCTCGCCTGAACGGCTATTTGTGACGGCGGAGAAGCAATCACACGACAGGGGTCTGCGAAGGAGACCTTGTCGCACCGGGGGGCGGACGACAGATGCCAATTTCGTTGATCGAACTGAATCGGCAAGGTGGTGGGAAGGCGGCTGCCGTCCAGGCAGGGCTAGTGGCAGCGCTGGAGCAAGGGGGCTGCTGTGCAAGGTGTCTTACATCCGCCCACTCGGCTTCTTGCATAGCGGGCCTGAAATATAATTTAGATGAGAACATTTTTTAATGTTGTCTGAAATGAGAACATTGAAGAGAACATGTATGTTAGATTTCGCACCGAGGGAGGACCTTTCAGCGAGATGGAGCTGCAGCTCAGTCTCCTACCGTTTATCCGTGATGCTGGAGAACGACCCCCACTCCTGACGCGGTCGGTCTGTGCCTCGGACGCTTCAGGTCTCGACGCATTACTCTACACGTTTGCCGTACCGCCTGTAGAACACGCTTTTGCCGGTTTACGCATTGCCATTTATTTGAAGTATGTGTTTTAGGCCCGCAGTTTACTCGGTCATCATGGATGCTGCGTGACCATCTGCAGTCTAGACGTCCGAAAGCTCCGACTAATCGTCGTCATCTTCATGCGCGTTCTACGTCAACGGTTTTGCGTTGTTATTGCGTCTAGGCTTTTTGTTCACGATCAATACCGCTGGCTGCAGCTGTGCGGTGTTCCCTTAAGCTCCTTCAGAAGCCTTATGGCGACATCGCCAGTGCTTGTGGCGGTGTGCAGTGGTCGCCCTGCGCTGTTCGGTACATTAGCGAATATCATGTTTTGCTGGGAAGAGCGCATGTAAGAGGTCTGGGCGCAGCCAGATCTTCGGCAACGGGGGCGCAGGATTGACATAGAACCCCTGGTGGTGAAAGCCCTCCCTCGGCCCCCCCCCCCAAAAAAAATGGTCGGGTGTGGTCCATTTGCTCTCAAGGGCATGTCTTCCGTTGTTATTTTTATTACCATCGTCTAGAACTGGACCAGAAGCAAGGAGTTGACGCGATATCAATTCTGCCTGAATTGTATAGTTAAGAAATTTAAGAAATAATGTGTTAAACGACTACATGAAATAAATTGCCGGCGCTCTTCACTTTACAATGGTCCAGTGGGCTTTTCCTAAACGGATAGAACTCAGAAGTTTTGTCATATTTTGACCTAGGCTCTACAGAGATATTGAGGACTCCGCAGATGTGGATTGTAGATCGACATAGGTTAGCAACTTTTATTAACATGGCCAAGCCATGTTTCTCTGGAAATATTCAACATTTAGTCAGAATCGATTAGTGGTACAAATTATGTAACGTAGTTTTGAACATGCACGCTCGCAAATCTTAGCAACGAAAGCTTCGACGTCGGGTGTTGCAGTCTCCATGGGCCGCGCAGTGTCGGTCCTGCGGTTAATATTAACCTATGGCCAGTGGGTTGACAAAAATGGTGACGGATCTGAAAGGAGAATCTTTGAAAGGCACTTTGAGGACATCAAATCGTGCATTTGGAAGGTTGTCCGGGCGAAAAGTTTACCTGTGCAATATTGTAGATTGGTGAAAGAACTGATTGGCCTTCACATCACCGCTAAGTGGTGCTGGAATCTGGTGATGGAACTGAAAGAGCAAGGGTGGAATCTATTTTCCGTGCCGGTGTAACGGTTAGTCTGTCCAGAGTACAAGTTCAAGGTTGTAAGAATAGAAACGACCGGTCTTATCTTTGGACGGTACAAATTACTTTTGAAAGACATTCGAAAACATTATTTCTGGCCGGTCGTGCTTGTATGCACGGCACCCGCTGTTTGTTGTTACTTGCAACGGTCAGCGGTCAACGCTGTTGGGCTTTACAGAAGCTGCAACCCCAGCCATCGCTGTTCTTGCCCCTGATGTTGCGGAGGCGCAGGTCTTTTTTATGTAATTTGTTTCACGACTGGATTCTGCAAAAGCGAGCGTTCTCAGGCAAACGCGAGATGGCCTTGTCCATTTTTCAACACATTTGGACCCACTCTATTCAACATTTATGAGACCCCTTACTTGTTCATGGCTAGTAGCCCCCTTAAGTAAAACACGAGGGGGTACATCATTGTTCCCGGTCAAGGGCTGAAAATTCCGTCCCACCCGGGGCGTCTTCCGGCTGTCATTTTGGCGACACGGGACGGGATCCACTAGACGATCCGGTGGTCCTTAGGGGGATACACCATTTCACATTGGTCCGTTCCATAGCGTGGGAGGCCTTCTGGCCCGCGGAGTTGGTCCTGGATTGACGCAGAAGCCCTCATTGACGCAACAGTATCCCTGATCGCCACAGATGGTCAAATAATTGGCACATAGACTCCAGTTCAGTTTAAAGGGCCCATGCTGGAATTAGGTTGGAGGACCTAACGTCTGGTACTTGGGGCTCTTATTCGTACAAGGCCCTTCCATTATCTCATTGTGAACACTCAGCATAAGTTATCATGTCTCCTTTCCTTGTCAAAGGGCCCCGACCAACGCGAGAGGCCTTTTAGTATTCGGGGTCCCGTCCTCGTCCCTGTTCAGCAAATGTTACACCGACCGACTCGAAGTCCCTTGTTAGCACAGTACACCCTGTTAGGCATTTAGGGCCTCTGACAGATACAGGAGTCCCGCATTGTCGCAGTGGCCCCAACTGATGTAAATCGCGGGCCCGGCCTTGTTTCTTCTTGGAAGTGCCCCCCCCCCCCCCCCAAAGCTTAGACCGGCACGGAGCCGACTGTTAAATGTTGGCGATCTGGGGCCAATATAGCGGAACGCTCTGCCTCGGGGGTCCCCCATCGGTACAAGAGGCCTTCTAACTGACATTTGAGACCATGGCCCTACGGGTGTGATCCTTAATGTCACCTACAGCCCGTCCTTCGGACCTTCAGACGTCCAATCGGACCCTTGATCTTCGGTCTCGAAAGACCCTTCGGTCCCTCTTCCGGTCCCCTCAAACGCGGCTCGTGGTTCACTCGGGGCCACTAGCCGACACAAGGCCCCCTGTTAGGCTTTGTTTGCTTTTGGCCGGCACGGAGCCGACTATGAGGTACTACTGGTGGTGCCTGACCGACATACAGGCTCTTATTGACTCAGGGATTCCCGATCGGCGTAAAGGACCCCCTGAGTGTCATTTGAGGGCCCGTCCCCGCAGGCTGCGGCCCCAGAATAAGACTCCGACCAGCCCTTTGTGCCTTTAGGCCCTCCAATGGGCCCTTGATCGTTGGTCCAGTGGGCCTCCAGGTCCTTCGGGCCTCCTCGAACATTGCCTCCAACCGTATCGGGATCCCTGCCAGCACGGGGTTCCCCGTTGGGCGCTGTGGGGCCCTGACAGGCGCTGGGCCCAGACCGATGTAAATTGCTTGCTCTGGCTTTGTCGGAGCGGACTGTGGATTACTGGTGGTGTCTGGCGGACGTATAGGCCCGTATCAATTCAGAGGGCCCTCAGGCTGGCATTGGAGTCCCCGACCGTTCAGGCTGGGGCCCCTGAGTACGACCTCCTGCCGGCCTTTCGGGCTCTTCTGGCCCTCATCGAGCCCTTAATTGGAGGTACCGAGGGACCGAAGGGCCTCTCGGAACCTAAAGGGGGTATGACCCCCCTGTGTGCCCCTCCCTGTGTGCACCACGGCCAGAAGGTTAGCGGTTCTGTGGCCCTCCCAAGACTGGAGGAATTTAAATGGTCGTTCTTTTTGCTGATTTTTATTGAAACTTGTCACTAAACGGACTGAATATGGCCTCCCAAGATTCGGCGCCGTCTCTGTCGCTGTTCACCAAACCCCGGTGACGCATTCGATCTGTGCAACCTGTGGTGAATACCACAGCAAACGGGATGATGCCATTGTTCGTCTCAAATACCTGAACACGTGATGGTCTTCTAGGCCTGGCAATCTGGCAGCTCAGTTGGCAGCTCTTTCCCTCCGTCGCATTTGAATCTTGTGACCCAGTATTCCTCGCCGCAGCATTGCGATTTGACGGCTCAAGCCCGCCCTGCCGTCGCCCAACAGTGTGACGGTCCCACCACAGTGCACTGTTGTGTTGCAGTCTATAGCAATACAACTATATCAGCGCGCACGATATTTCCGTGAGGTGGTAGTAGAACAATACAGCGTGGCAGTTCCAGCATAGCCCACTACTGCGTTATAGTCCGGCCGCGTTACACTGTTACAGTCACCGTTCCTGTGGGATGCACGTGTGTACAAAACTGTCCAAGCTGGGTCCCCTGGGGTAGGGTAGTAGGGTGGCCGTTCGATCCACGCCACTACATCCTCGTGGCATTATGGATGGTACCGTCACGATACAGGCGGCCTATATATGGGTCCGGGTCCAGACGCAAGCATTGCTGACTCTATTCTTACCGCTCGCATTCTTACAGATCGTTAGGAATAGGATTATTTATGTGAAGCGAGGCAATGCCGCCAGCTCCACATACATCCTGTAATCTTTGAATGCGCTCTTGTGGGTGTGTTTTGAACTCCAGACCTTTGTCCACGTGTGCTGCCACGCAGTAGCCGTCACTTGTCAGCGCACCGGCCGTCACGTGATGTGAGATAAGCGGATGCTACGGGGATTCCCCGAGGGTCGTGCAGACGTGGCGCGGGCGCCCCTTCCCCGCTTCCAGCCGGCGCCCAGCGGGCACGACGCCTCCGACGCCCTGGCCGCCGGCACCGCTCTCCCGATGCGTGGCGTACGTCGGCGGCGCGCCTCGCGGCTCGCCCTCCGGCCGGTCGACGCGCTGCGGCGGCCGGTGGGGCCGTGACGGGTCGGGGGGGGGGGGGGGCGGGGAGCGGTTATGAATGTGACCTTCCTCTGCAGCCGATGCCGGCCGGCAGACGCTGCAGCGCCATGGCACGCGCTCCCGCCGCGCGGGGTAACGGGGTGCGCCCCGGGCATGGGGCGCTGCTTCCCGCCGGTTGCCTCGGTTATGCATGAGGTCGTTGCAATAGGTCGCGTCCTCCGGGACCACATCGCGACGAGTTGCCCGTGGGAGCGGACGTCGGCTGCGGAGACGTCCAACCGGCGTCCGTTGGCGACCGTCGCCATCATGGAGTCATCTCCGCGGCTTCTGCGAAGCGCTCCATTCGGAGCGCCGACCCTTCCCCAAGCGTGGGGATGTTGGTCGCTGCGCGCCGCGTGCCCGGCCCGGCCCGGTCCGGGTCGGACCGGGGGAGGGCGAGGGGGTCCCGGAACCGGTGCCTCGCCGACGACACACCCAGCTGGGCGACGTCACGTGGTAAGCAGGCGGCGCGCGGCGCGGCCGCGACGCCCGCCGCCGCGGGCCGCCGGGTTCCGGGAAGCGGCCTCGGCTGGCCAGGCCGCTCCTAACATGGAATTCGTGCTGTTCTTGGAAGCGAGGGGCCCGAGGAGGCGTCGGCGGTGGTCGCTCTGGGCCGGCGGCGGCCTGGGACGATGCGGTCCCCCGGCCGTCTCTGCGCCGACCCCGGCAGCGGGGCTGGTCAGAGGATCCACTTCTCCCCGTGGTAAGAGCTGAACGCTCGCTCTTACGTTGTTTGCCTATGAACGGTGTGAAAGGGCATTGCCTCCTGAACCTGTACAACTGTACGACTCCTTTCCTCGACGAACGAACGAGTCCTGGACAGTGGTCTTTCTGGCTGGTGGCCGAGAAACAACCCCAGAAGTGGTGGGTGAAGCCCCTCCTCAACCCTAAAAACCTGAATCATTTCGATGCGCCACAATATCAGTTTCAGACTATCACGAAAAGTGGTTGGCCATCGCGACCGACCCGTGTCTCCTTTCCCACAATTACATTCCGCGCCCGACATAGGATTCAAATCCCCCCCCCCCCCCCACACGTGAGGACAGGATGTTGCCTATTGGGAACATTTTGTGGGAATTTTAGAGCAAGCAACCTCCCCGGAAGACATATTATGACATGAACGTGAGAACAGAAGATCGAAACCATGACCCACAGGCTGTGTGACTTACGTAGATGTCCGTCACCCTGTTTGTGGCGCGGCGACCGCTCCAAGTCGTCACGGAACCTGATCCAGACTGACGTCCGACTAACTGCCGTCTTGCAGTCAGGCAGCTAACTGTCCTGCCGCCTGCGTTTGTCCAAACTGATGTCTAACGACGCCCTGTCCTGCTGCCTGTTTTTGTCCAGGGTGGCGTTCCAACCAACGACGCCCCGTCCTGACAGCAGGTGGTTGGACTGGTGTCCGGATCTATGACGCCCTGTGCTGCTGACCACGGCTCTCCGTGCCGATGTGCTGACCCGTGACGCCGTGCTGCCCTGCTGACCGTGGTCTGCTCCGCTGGCTGACGGCCGCCCTGTCCGCAGACGGCGGGCCCCGGCACGCAGCGGGCGGCTGGCTGCACCTGCGCGCGCGGAGCCGGTCGGCCGACACAGCCCTGCGCCAGCTGCACCGCCGCCGCCGGTGACAGGTATGGCCCGGGCGTACCGCGTCGTGGCGGCTGGTACGCCGGCGCCGCCGCACCTCCGCCACAGCTCTCAGAGCTGCCGCCAGGGACGCCGCTCTCCGCCTGTTGGCGCTGTGATGATGCGGTCCGCCGGTCGCTGCGGCCGTGGCGTCGCTTAGCGGTGTGCGGTAAAAGTGCGGCTGGTTTCGGTCGCTTGCCGACTTCGGCCGCCTGTGGTAGGTGCTTCCCATTGCTGTCGCCTCAGCGGAACCACTCGGTGCCCCGTTATTGGCCGATGCAATATGTTATGATCAACACATAGTTTCAGTGTCTATTAACTTGGGGATGTTCACCGCATATTGCCTTGCATATCAGGTGCATTATTTCAAAGGAGCATGACGGCATCACCGCCACTTTTGAACGGCAAAACGGCTCGGTGTATCACAGCGATGGCCTGGTTGTAACTGCATCCACCCACGCTCAATGGTGTGAAGGCCAACCCGCTGAAATATGAAGGCTCCTTACCCCCAATTATCGAGAAATAGGTACGTCCCGCGGATAGCGCGCCTCGCACCCGGCGCTCCGCACAGTCCGCGCTCGCTCCTGGTCGGGTTTTCCGCGACACAGGCGCGCGGTCGGCACTGGTGTAGACGTGTTCAGTTTCTTTGTGGTGATGGTGGGGCCGCAGCGACTGACTGAAGTGTTACAGAGTACAGCGAAGCTGTGCTTTTTTGCTCGTGGCGGACCTTCAGCCCGGTACCTATGACCCGATTGTCGGTTAAGTTCGTGCCATTTACGCCAGCACGCCGCCACATCTGTGGTGACTCATCGTTCGCCGTGCCCAGCCCGAGGTCAGATGGCCTGGCTCCGGGCGCGGCGCGGCCGCGGTAGTTCTCTCGGGGCAGAGGAGCCGCTGCCGGCACGGCCTGTTGCCGATCCGGCAGCCACCATTGTGCCAAGCGATGTAACTCAAGCGCGCGAGCTTACCACACTGAGCAAGTTACGCTGTTCTGCGTAGTCACAAAATATGAATGTAATCTTAAAGCGATGAATGACTCCACGGGTGCCCTTCTGAGAGTCTGTTTCTGTTTGTTTGTTTCGCTGTTTGCCTGGGTAGGAAACGACGGATGCGACAGTTCGCTGGTCGTGAAGGTTGGCAGACGCATGTTCAGTCCCCTCAGGTGATGCCTTTTGAGAGGCGCGCGTGCTTCGCACCACACCGTCCCGTCGGCGTCTGGGGGCTGCCCACCCCCCCCCCCCCCCTCCCCCCGCCGCTGGCAGGCCCCGACCGCGCAGTCCGGGACTGTGCGGTCGTTCTGCGGCCGCGGCGCCGTCGCCGGGACGCGTCAGTCACGGGTCAGCGTGGCCGGGCGTCACTGGACACGTCCTGTTTTCTGGCATTGTGCTATCGCGCCGGCCTGCGCCCGCGCCGCTGACGGCCAGAGTCCGGGAGCATGAGGTCAACCCGGTAGAGGGGAGGGCGCCGGCACGTCCCGGCCGCCGCCGCCGCCGCCGCAGCCGCAGCCGCAGCCGCAGCGTGGCCCCTGCTGCTGAGTACGGCATGGCACGGTGCTACCGGATCGGTGTTAGGTCGGAGGCTGGCCACACAGCAAAAAGTCAGTAACGTCACTTTGTGTTGTTGTGGACACAGACCATGAGGTCGAGGCGGCGGCGGCGGGGGAGGCCAGTGCCATGAGTTTCGTCGTGTGTTAGATGTGTTTGCAGTGGCGTGGGTAATGGTGGTGGTAGAGGTTGAAGCAAAACGTCGCCACGGAGTCACGCCGCGGATGGCGCCCCACAGGCGCACAGGCTCGGGTCGTCCCCTGGGAGTGGGCACGCCAACCGGCAGCGCCTAAACTCATCCGGTTGTCGTTTGCAGGCTGGAGTCGGGCGCGGCGACCCCGGACGGCAGCGGCGACCAGAGTCGACTGCTCGGGGCCGACTTAGCCAGCCGCGCCACGGTAAGCACGCACCACGCCACACCATGCGCTCCAAACGGGCCCGTGCGTGTCCCTTGCTCCCTGCTCAGACTCGTGTCGGTAGTCGCACGTTGCAGCGCTCCCGCGCTTTTGCACGAGATGGAGGCGCCCATCCGCTATGTACGATTGATGCAGAGATGTATGGTTAGGCTGACACAGTGACTGCCGCTGGTGACTGGTGCTTGCAGACGCCCCCAGGGATGTTTATGGTAGATTCGTGTCACGTAGAGTGTGGCTAGTGCAGTCGCCTGGGGACCGTGTGTGTAATAAGGTGGCCCATGGCACCATCAGTCACTGACTATATGGGTTACGTCATGGTACATCTCACGTCTGGAACTATCTCTTCCGTTAAAGCTATGCAACTATATTCGGTCGACTTTTGTCAGACACTATCACAGCGTCTGCGAGGATTCACCCTAAACTCGTTTTTCCCCCAACTCCCACCCCTCAACCCCACCCCACCCCCAACTCTAACCCCAACCCCAACCGCAACCGCAACCGCAACTCCAACACCCCCCCCCCCCCCCCCTGCACTCCACCTCCACCCATAAGACATTGCTTCGACGCTGTCCATGACGGCCCGTCACGCACGCGTCGGCAGAGAAACGGCCGGCCGCCGAGCTGGGGCAGCAGCTGGGAGACGTCGGACCGCGAGCCGAGCGTCAGTCCGCGGGACCGGGACCGGGACCGGCACCGCCACCGGGACCGAGATCGGCGGCGCAGCGAGACGCCAGGTGAGGCGCCACCCGTCGGCATCCCCCGGGCGGGCCCGGCCCCGCAAGCCCGACGGGCGCCGGGCCGCGCGCCGAGCGGACACCTTTGTTCGGGAGGTGGGGTTTGTGTGGAGACTGCTGGACGCGGCCCACCAGCTGTCTCCACTAGCTTCCTCTTGTCTCGGCCGCCGCCCCCTGTGATCGCGCTTTGCGATTGAATGATATTCACGATTGTCAGCCACATTCAGTTGAACATACACGTATTTCAATGCGTATTCATTCATGATGTATTGAGATGCAACGCGTGTATGTATCGCCTGTATATGTGGCACCAGTGCCTGCCGTCTTGTGGCCGTAGACTGCTACAGATGTAACGTCGGCATGACCTCGTGGCGTCGGCGTGCAGTGAGACGGTGTCCCCATCTGTGCACCAATTATGCCGCCCTCGGCGATGTCGTCTGGCTGCGCTGACACGCTGACGTGATGTTCTGACGTCACTGCTGCGTCGCCGGCGTGCTGGCGTGACGTCCTGATGTGTTGCGCTGACGCGCCGCGGCGACGGACCCCACGCGACTGGCCGTGCTGACGTGCCCGCTGTGCCAACAGGAGCGGCCGAGGACCTGGCGGCCGCCGAGGCGCTGGTGACGTTCAGCGGCCCTGCGGGCCCGGACGCCGAGGAGCAGGACGGTCCGATCGACCTCTCGGTGGGCGGCGGCCGGCCGGCGGCGACGCCGGCGCCGCGCCGCCGGCCGGCTGACGTGCTGCGACCGCTGCGGCCGCCCGACGAGCTGCGGCTGATGTACGCGGCGCTGGCTCGGCTCGACGGCGGCCCCACGCCGCTGCGCCTGCCGGCCGCCGGCCAGCGCTACACGCTCGAGCTGGAGCTGGCGGCCAAGCAGCGGCGTCGTTCGGCCGAGCCGGCTGCCGCACCGCGCCCGGCCGTCGCCGCCGCGGCGTCGCCACGGCCGGCAGAGGTCGGTCGGCATGGACCACCGCCTCCGCCTCCTCCGCCGCCGCCGCCACCGCCTCCGCCGCCACCGCCACCCGCGACGCTGCAACAGCAACAGCAACAACAACAGCAACAGCAACAGCAGCAGCAACAACAGCAACAACAACAACAACAACAACAACAACAGCAACAGCAACATCTACAGCAACAACAGCAGCGCCAGCAGCAACAGCAGAAGGGGCAACGACAACAGCAACTGCAGGAGCAGCAACATCAGCAGCAGCAATTGCAGCAGCAGCAACAGCAGCAGGTGCAGCAGCAGCAGCAACAACAACAACAGCAACAGCAACTTCAGCAGCAGCAGCAACAGCAACAGCAGCAACAACAACTGCAGCAGCAACAGCAGCAGCAGGCGGAGAGCGAGCCGGTCGTCTCCGACGAAGAGATCGAGATTGACGTGGTGAGCCAGGACGGACCGGGAGAGGCTCGATCGCCAGCGCCGGCCGCTGGGCCGGAGCCAGCGCCCTCTGGCGGCGGTGTGCAGGCCATCCTAAAGGACATCTTCAACCAGGTGCGCCACGAACGCGCCAGCGCCGGCTTCGCCACTGCGCGGCCGGACGCGGCGGCGGCGGCCACGACGGCGGCGACACCGGCGCCTACGGAGCCGGCGGCCAGCGCGCCTAACCTGATGCACCCGAACGTGACTGCCGGCCAGCCAGGGCTAGCCTTGACGCGGCCGACGGCGCGCACCAGCGACGCGGAGCCGCAGCACAGCGACTCGTCCTTCTTCAACAGGTGAGTAGAAGCGGGTAGCGGCTGCGGTGTCTCGCCGCTGCGGCGCCGGTGACGCGGCCGGGTCTCCGCTGTGGCACGCTTAGGTCGTGTTACCCGAGCTAGGCGCGGGGTGAACTCTGTGACGGTTGTGGCTCTAGGTCCGGTGTCCAGCGTTGGGTGGGTGACTATGAAAGCCACCAGGCCCTAAGGCTGGTCAGCCTGAACCAGAAATGCGTGTGTGTGCTTACGTATTATCTGACAAGAGCGGATGCAGTTTTTGGAACGAATCAGGAGAGAAAAGGCGATTGGAAACTCTGTGTAATATGTTGGCTGTCTGGTTCTTTCGTTTGCTCTAAAAGTTGGGATCCTGTCTAGATCCTGATCCTGTCCTGTTGATACCACGGTGGCATCTCATCGGCGCTGACTGCAAAACACTCGGCATACGTATTCTTGCGATGAGAACGATGCATTGTGACAAACTGGATGGCGGCCTGGTTGACTGCGGGAATTTGCGTGCCGAGAACGCGTTATATTACAGACGGTCTCGGTGCTCAGATGTTCTACGCACGGTGGTCCATGGACAGGTGAATGTTGAAGGGCGACTTTTCATCGCTGGATGTATTTTGGTCATCCTTAGTTATTTGTTCGTATATGTATATATATATATATATATATAATATATATATATATATATATATATATATATATATATATAGGTATATATGTATACACACAAAATTTATTATGCACTTTGGGACCAAGTAAGCCACTCAGCACATGTTACGATATTGTGGGGTGTCCTAATAGTTGGTGAAAACCAACCAGAGCGGAAATCAAATCATCGCTCCGTGCATTGAGCGCCAGTTATGCAGAAGAGTTTCGTCAACCACATAAGGCTGCCTCGCAGGCCCAGTAGGCATGCATGTTTCATAGTGATCTCCCTTGAGAACGCTCCGATCTCATCCGGAGCTGTCTCAGCTTGTCAGCTCATCTCTCCACACTCATCGAGATGCGCATCATCTCCACACTCATCGAGATGCTGGCTGAGCCCGCGATAAGATGTGATATCACTAGCAGGCAGGGAGTCCACAACTCAGTTGCAGTCATTCTCTCATCATTGCTACGTTTGATGAAACTGATGTCAGAATGTGTGATGCTGCAAGGGTGGGGCACTGGTGCTTCCTTTGCGTACTGAAAATATGCCTGACGGTGTGAGTGTTGTCAGAGAGGGAAACACCGCCATTTGCGGCACGACCAAACCTTATGTAAGCGCCAGCTATTGTTCTCAGTCCAATCGCTAAAAGTTGTACATAGTGAGTGATCGCATCGTGCTCTGGGGAAATTTGCGAGCGTCCGATCGCAGGACATCGAAGCACGGCTGTGGTATCTCTGCACCTGAATACGGTTGGGCGTCGTGATCAGCTGACTGGCCGTGATCAGCTGACTGGCCGTGATCAGCTGACTGGCCGTGGTCAGCTGACTGGCCCTCCTTGCTTTCTCCCACCCCTCTTAGCCGCCAACAAAGAGGGGGATTTCTTGTCATGTTTTATCTTTTTTGTAAAGTGAAACGCGACGCACGTCGTCACGCAGCCTTTCATGGAGCGCTAGCGCCTGCAGAGGCCATGTTAACGCTCAGAGATAATGGCGCAACCGGGATCCCCTCCCCCCACGTGGGGGAAGGCGAAGGCGTTAATTCGTCAGCCTTTGCGCCCTTAAAGAAATATCCATTTTGGTGTCGGGGTGACGTAGAGTTTTGAGCACGCGTGGAGCTTTTTCTATACAGAGAGAGCATGGGCGCTGTTTCTGAAAAAATGTCAAAAGTCCTATCAAACCCAACGTAAAACCATGATTTTGGACAAAAGCTGCTCTGTTCTGTGGCCCGCGGCCGTAGCATGTCTGACCACACGCACGCGCATCTCTCGCCGCGACAGGAACTCGGACCGGCTGGTGTGCGCTGTGTGCAACAAGCGCGACTTCGTCAACCGCAACCAGCTGTCGGCGCACACGAAGACGCATCAGATGGACCAACGTCGCTTCCGCTGCGACGTCTGCGAGGTCAGCTTTCGCTCAGAGCAGCAGCTGAACAAGCACCGCAAGAGCAACGACCACCTGCAGAAGGTGGGTGCGGCCGCGCGCCGCTGGAGACGCTCCAGACGGGTGTGCCGGGGGGCGGGTGCCGGTCGTCCCCGTGCCAGACCCGTGTTTTGGCTGGGCAGCTGTGTTGAGGCGGGCCGACTGTCAGCCGATCCTGCCCTGCTGAATGTGTCGGGTGTTGGCGTCGGCCAGTGCGTCATCGGTGACGTAACGGTCTTTTGTGTTGCCCCCACGCCGCGATACGGCTGGTGTTGGGTTGCCGTGCAGGTGGGGCGGTTGTCCGGAATGTTTCTTGTGTTCTGAGCCGGTTGCATGCCGGCTGCTGCAGAAGACGCCTCCCATGCGTCAGCTCTGTGTATACGGCTCTTGCACACGACGGCGGAGCGGCGAGTCGATTAGCGGCGGCCAGGTGATGGGCACTCGATCCGACACATTTGTTTCGGTCTGTCGCTGCTTTCAGCAGTGCTGAAAGCGCACGTCGCTCATCGTCTGTACGTTCCGCCATGCAGGCGAGCATCCACCGGCAGTTCGGCAAACCCCAGGGAGACAGGCGCATCTACGAGTGCCTGTTCTGCATGCGCGGCTTCCACAACATCGGCACTCTGCACAAGCACTTCCGCTGCAAGACGCACATCATGGGCCTGGAGAACGCCGGCTGGCTGCCGTGCGGCACGTACGCCGAGCTGGAGGCGCTGGGCGTGCCCGGCCGCACCGACGGCGCCGACAGCATCAATGTCGAGGGCACCTGGCCCAACTACTGCCATCTGCAGGTGGGCGGCGGAACTGCGGTCGCGAACGACGGCGATTGGCGGACGGATGGCCGGCGGGACCGGGACAGGGCTGGGTTTTTTCCGTGTGGTCGGCAGTTGCAGTTGGAGCTGTGGGGAAATTGTGGTCCGTAGCACAAGACGGAACGCGTCTGATGACATGAGCGCATCTTTTGAGCTTGTGTTATGGCTTCTGTACCATACTTTTGAGTAAGATGGTTCATGAAACTTGCACCAGATAACACCAGGCCGACGAGCAGAATACAAAGATCATCGACGCTGATGTCCAAATGCGGGCTCGTGCGTGCTGTTGACATTTACGATTTGGGCCATCTTACGCCCACCTCTGGCGGTGGCGGGGACCGCGACCGCAGTTATTGGTCATCGGAGCCTTGCCGACCCTTCGTTTAAGTTGAAATTGTCCTGGGATGTCGTTAGGGGTGTTTGCACGGCGCTGTTTGCCAGGAGATCGTGCGTCAGCGCCCTGCTGTTCCTTTTATCTGTGAGGCCATCGTCACGCATAGCCGGTGAGGTGGAAGGTGGCTGACCGCTGGAATGGGATGTAGCAGACCCAGGCCTCTGCGTTTGCTTGTGCTGCTGCTTCATGTTCATCTTGTCTTGAGTGGCACGTTTGTGTTGCCGCGACCCACGTCTTGCGTTCCTTGAGACATTCCAGATAGCCCTCTGAGATCTGGTAGGCCCACCATGCGTCCCGCCAGATGTGTTCCGAAGCCTGTTCCTTGCTGAAACGTTCACTCTCTGGTCGCCGGAGTTTCTTAATACCACGGACGTCCCGGAACCCTGCCACTCGATTACAAAATGCAGACGTCGTCCTTGTGCCCCATTTTTGGAGTACCAAACCACGGAACACCCAGTGCTTAGAATGTCCTGGAGCTGGTGCTATTCCGCGCTTTACCTGCCTTTAGTTCGCCTGCCATTTACGCCGTATTTTGTAGCTGTCATGCATAGTTGCCGCTGATATGAACGGCCTGGACTGTTGCAAACTCTTGACGGTTTGCTATCCGTATTTATGATATATTCGAGCTGTCGATGACGCCGCTGTTTGCGCAGGACCTGACGCTAACTGATCTCATGCTTGCACGGGACCTGACGCTGATGCTGCGGAGGGATGTACACTGCGCAGGAGCTACCACTGGCTCATGCGACGTGTGCGCACGAGTTACTGACTCATCTCACGTGTGCGGAGGAGCTGTCGCTGACACATCTCACGCATGCGCAGGAGCTGTCGCTGACACTGCTGCGGGACCGGCCCGCCGAGATGTCCGACTGGCGGTGCAAGTTCGACGACATCCGGCGCGGTCGGCCGCCGCGCAGCTATCCGTTCGAGATCGACCCGAAGCTGCGCGGCAACGCAGACCCGAGCCGGCCGCGGCCGCTCTTCCCCGCCGACTTCTGCCGGCCGCCGGCCGAAAACGGCACCGCAGACAGTACAAAGCCCGGCGCGCCGGCACACCGGCCGCCGGCGCACGGCGGCGGCCCGGCGCCGACGCCCTGCGCGCCGCTTAAGCAGGAGCAGCACGACGAGGAGACGCCTGATCACAGAATGAACGGACAGGTGGGCGGCGGCAAGGGGGCAATGAGCCGGCAAGGGGGAACCTTTTGCCGTCCTGCGTGTTAGTCCACTTGTGTTGTGAGCTCACTCCTGTGTTTGTGGCTGCTGCTTTTTTCCCTTTTCCTTCCGATTTTCTTGCTTTGGCTCCACACTCTACCTGTCTGCAGATGCACATCGTGGCCCCTTGATAAGCGCCGTCCAACTCACGACCCCAGCTGAATGAAGATCGCGATTCTGGTGTGTGTCATGTTTTGACTTTGATGCCCAGGAATGCGTGATCGTCGAGTGTTTCCCGTGACTTGATCAAAGCTGCACGCAAAACAATCCAAAACCTGTGGTACTCTTTTGAACTGATTCCTGGCAGCCACGCACGCGTTTGAAAGGGTTCGTGCACATCAAACAACGTAGTGTAGCTCAAATGAGCATGCGCTGAAGAATGACCATCATTATATTTAGTAAGCCTCGTCTGAACAACGATCACGGCTGCTGTCAGCGGGTGTGGTTTACAGTTTAAAAGTTGGCTTACTTTCTCTGCACTGAGGCTTGAAAGGCGTGACGCCCCCCCCCCCCCCCCCCGCTACTTCCGCTTTCCTTCGACAGTCCGTTCCGACAGTCCGACAGTTCGAAGCAGTCCGTTTTCCTTCGACATAAAACGTCAAGACGTTCGACGAAGTGCTTCCAAGACCTGACGGTCAAAAAATGTCAGCAAACACATGCCATGTTATGCAGCATTCTCTCCAACGACCTTGAGTTACGCTCGCCGTCTGGCCATTGTTCTCTAGCGTGCGAGTGCAGCAATAGACTTGCTGTCAGTTTTTACTTGGGGACCTGCCATAGGTTGATCACAGTGCGGATGTGCCGAAGGCGTTAGTCATTTCACTGCGGGCTCGTGCGCGGAGTTCAACAAGTGTGCGTCAATGTGACCAGGACGGAGAAACGAAGGAGCAGATCAGCCCCCCCCCCCCCCGCTAACGTTTGTAAAATATGGCATTTATCCTGTGAGTTTGCATGGAGAACAACTAACAGTCCTATTGGTGAGCGTGACACAGCTTGAGATATTGCGTTTTGTCAAGACAGCCGATGCTTCCTTGGCGACGTCGTGTACCCAGTGGCTTCTGATATATTGAAGCTAGATTATTGTAAGAATTCGATCCTCCAATTCACGATACAAAAAATCGAAGGTCAATTCCTTCTATTCATATAGCAAGTCCAACGTGCTGCTACTTTCTCACTTCAGCAACATAGCATGCGTGTTATGCCCATGGTATGTTGCGACGTGGATTAAATTGCTGACCTCTGTTACTTTCGCGCCTGATAATTTTTGTGTCCAAAGTGTATGTTGTTTTTTTTTGTTCTTTCTTCTTCTTGTTCGCTTTTCGTTGTTTCTCCGTATGCGTCTGTATATTCTATAGAATATTTTGTCCTGTGCCCACATTCACAGACGTGTTTTGTCCTTGCAGAGCTACTGAAGGTGTGCTGACTGGTTGATCTCGATGGTGTCGAGAAGACGAAGACTTTCCGATATTGTTATTGCCCGCGGGCATTGCGCAGCCAGAGGCGAAACCAGTTCAAAGGTGAACCTTCGGCCGGTCTCGGTGCCTTATTATGTAGCAATTGTGGGCCGCCGGCCGCTCGTCGCGTATGGGCATGTGATATTTGCCGACCGGGCGGCGGCCCGGGCCGGCCCGCGCCGCGCGGTCCGCCTCTCACCGCTGCCGGGGCCCGGTCCCGGCGTGTCCGGCGTGCGCGGTCCCCCGGGGTCCACGCGCCTCCTTCTTCGAGGGGTGGGGTGGGCGCGTCGCACCGGCGGGTCGGCGGCCGGCCGCCGGCCGCCCGCTGTTCCCGCACGCCATACAACGCGAGGATGCTGGTACAAATGTCGGACGAGTTCATTGTGTTGATAATAAGAGAAATGGACCGTGTCGGGCGGGCAGTCTTTTCGTCGGGCCGTGGAATGAAGCGAAGGCGGCGGCGGATGGATGGTTCTCGAGGACAGTGAGCGTGGCACAACATCGCAGAACCTAGGCAGGCGCTGCTCAGCTGCGACGCTTTCTTACCCGCCACGCAGTTGATGGCTCCCTTCCTGCACAAGCCGGAGGGCAACCACAACGAGATCAGTTCCAAGCAAAGGGACGGGGAGTTGCCCTCGTGGTTGAGGGGAGCCGACATGCAGCTGCGCTTTGGCCAGAGCTGACTTGACGTGCACGGGGTCCTGCGGCAGCCCGTCCGGACCCTAAGGCCCCAATGGCCATTGGCAATTCATCAGGGCATACGAAGATGCATCGGTGAGAAGCCATTTCTTAGATAAATAGGCACAGGGGTCTTGCCGACCTCATAAGTTGGCATATATCGTTGCGGCCAAGCATTAAAATAACGATGCCGTACTCACAAACAGCACTGTTTTTTGGACTAGGCCGTTCTAAGTCAATGAGAACAGCGCAGGCAGTTGCCAATGCGCTCAGTACGCAGAAGCCCTAGACGCTCATCAGTGGCCGGCAGCGGACCATGCTTCATACGCCACAACACAGCGTCATGGTGTCGCAGCTCCTCAACGGTCCAATTTCCAAAAATCGTCTGTTCCAAGGAGTTGGCTCCAGATGGAACTTGGCATACCGCCGTTTACGCCGCTGCCTGGGTCGACACAGCAGGGCGTGCGCCAGCGGAGCGGAAGATGGCAGTCTTGGAGCGGAAGTCCTGCCAGCCTGCATTGCAAGACCAGCGCAAAGCTCGGACGCCATGAATGGAGACTGGGGGCGCCGGGTTCGGGCTGAATCCTATCTCGAAGGTCTCCCGTATGTATTCGCCAAGCAAGCAGCAGGGGTGCTTTTAATTATATTGCGGGAGATCCTGTATAAAGGAGGGGGCGGTGGGGGGGGGGGGGGGAAGCGCACACATATTGCGTTGCTTGTGAGGAAAAGTAATGACCACTGTGCAATTACTGTAAAAATAAAGGCCCTTCCTGCTCCAGTGCGCCTTCTTAAAGGCAGTGTTCCACATTTATATGGATTGTATGGGTTATACAGGCTATTGGTTTTGAAATGAATTAGCTGTCTTGAAGATCTTTCGGAGCTGTTAACAATCCTGCCCTTCTTAAGACCTAAGCCCTTCTAGTTTCTGAGCTAGACACCCACGAAAATGGGGAAAAGTATACCGGGGAGAGTACTTCAAAGTCCCCTTGGCATTTGTGACATAATAACGTCATTCAAATCCTGTCATTCCGCAAGCCATGTGGGGATCAAGGCCAGGAAAATGTAATTGTCGAGGCTTTCATACCTGGCAGTCGTTAGCGTGATTTCCAGATAAAACGGCCGTCAATTGGCTCTCAGTCAATGTTGTGAAAGCCACGGTGACGTAATCAAACCATGACACTTTGAGCAACATATTTACCAAACAGAGGACTGTGCTGTATGCAGCAGCCTTTTCCACTTAGAAAATATACCAACAGCTATAAGCGAGCTTGTTTCAATTCATCTCATGCTCACTTCGATATCTTCAGATGCCAAACATTCCCTTTTAAGGTGAATCCTGGAACATGGAATGCAACGCCGCACAAAGATAACGTGCGGAACAGTCATGACCCATGCTCACGCCCACGGCACCAGACAGGTTAGAGGAAGGGGGAAGTATTAAATGGCCGGCCCACATTTCCACAGTGTGATAATGAAGACTGAATGGAATCGAAGTGAACTGAAGAGAGCTGTGCGGTAGATTTCGTTCGCAAAGCGGGCAAGTGGGTAGTATGCGTCCATCACCATCTGGCCCTAAGTTGGAAAGATACACGAAACAAAACTGACAAATCGGTTGTTTTTTTTTTAAACGATCTGGTCCAAAACCTTTGATTGGGTAAAATTTTGGGCTCAGCGCCTCCGCTAAGTGGTGTCTGTTGCGTGAGGCCAGATATCACTATTCGATTGTGGAGTGCTAGATCAACGGTAGAATTTTACAGTGGAAGCTTAACACGCGCTCGGGTGTGGGGGTCAAATTGATCCCCCGCCCGAACATTTTTTCCAGAATTGTTTCCGAACGGTGCGGCGTAGCCGTGCCAAATTGCGCATAGCTATAGACAGTTGAATAGCAGATCGTTTGACATAACAAATTTAGACGCATCTTGCAAGTTCGCTGACCTATGGCAGGTCAAAGTCAGGCCATCGTTTCAGCTAAGGTAAGTTGTAGGGAATCGTTTAATCTGATGCAACAACGGAGTGTTTGACGAAGCCATACATCTCTGAGATGCTTTCTTAGGCACCACAAATATTGAATGAGCAAATTATGTTGACCTACGGTCAGGTATAAAGGTCAGACCGAGGTCAAAACCAACCTGATTTATTGCTCTAGGTCTGGCTGCATGAGATAGTTTCTGGCGTTCATTTCGAATTTATTGACAGCAGGAACTGCATTATATATCTTCCATTGACTTCTTAGAGGTCAGAACAGGTCATTGACCTAAAATGACCGGTTTAACTTTTTGTTTTAGGAACATACTGCCTAGCGTAGTCTTTGTCGCTTAGTCAAATGCAAAACTCAGTGCAGTTTTGCATTGTTTTTGTCACCATGACCTTGAATGGTCAAACTAAGTCACTGACCTCAAATGGGCTCGTGGCCTTTTGCTTAGAAACAGTTACCTAGGTTCTGAAGGCACTTTGGAGGCCAACCTGGAAATTGACCTTGTTTGACCTTATTTGACCCGAAGGTTATGACCAAGGACGCTCAAATTTTGACCTAAGTGAGTTCACGTACAGGTCAATAATACACCCTGTCAATTTGGTGTTTCTAGTTTCCTTAGTTACACCCCGAGATCTCAGGGAGGGGTCAAACTGACCCCCCCCCCCCCCACCGTGCGAATCAAGTATCTAGCCGGCCATCCGGGTGTATGTTAACGTGCCGCATCCCTTGCGCTGTCTGTCCAGCCCTGAGGGTAGAATCTTTATGACGTCAACTGACCTTCGCGGCTACCGGCCACAGTTCATACCAGCCGGGGCCAAATAATGAGTGCACAACGATACTTGAGCCATATCTGCCACTGGGATGTCGATTTGAGCTCAGGAGCTCTAGCCAACAGTGATTGGGATGAGCTATGGAAGGGAAGGAAAATTTCCATTTTTTGCGGGCGAGCTAGGAGCGAGAGCATTGGCAGCATTGGATTAAAGAACTGACATATTTAGAACGAAGAACAGGAAACCATAACAAAATCAGATTGTCCATTTTGATGTTTAGAATGTGTCACTTCCGTGGGCCAGGGGTGATTAAGACCATGGCACAGATTCCTGAATGCATGGTTTTTATATAAAAGCTCGGCAGCATTAAAATCCTACACTGGCATGGCCGGTCCTGTCTTTTGCATGGCTTGAGCATTCAGATACATCTCACGCCTGAGACTCCTGAGAACGGTAGTAATTTTTATATGCTTCAATCTAGGCTACATGATTCTGTCCGAGGCACCGCCGCTCCGCGCCGAACTCGGCACATTCAAACATATCGGTGTGGTGGTCTAGTCGTCCTATTTAAATGGACGTGAGACACAATTAACCACATTAAAAGAGGTAATGCCTTTCTATTACGCCTTGTTTTCAGTTTTCATTAGTGTGTCGTTTGGTTGCTTCAGAGACGTCATCGTTTTTGCCTTTACTGCTGGAGCTGGTCCGTAAAGGTTACGACCGATGTTTCCCTTCCCTTCTATTCCGTAGTCCATCACAATAGCTCAGCTGGTTAGCACGCCTGCATTCCGATTTAGTTACTGGTAGCCGGAAGGGTTCTACTCGCTTAACGCGTGGATGCGTATTGAAGTATTTGAGTTCACAGGTGCCGATTCGCATTCTTTTTGGGGGCCCTGCCCCATATGTTGATCTGCCCCCCCCCCCATGTTGGCTTAAGACCCTCAATATTTTTGGCTGAATCATAAAAAAATGTGGGAAAGAGTTGGTCATTACACCAGGACGATCTTTTTTGATTATTCCTTGTAATGGCGTCGCCATGGAGGATGCAGCTGTGGAATATGAAGCTGTAAACTCAATATAATATCCTCCGTGTAAGCCCAGGCGCCTTTCCCCGCAACTAAATATGCTATTGATGCCGATTATAGTATTGATATCCACAGGCATAGGAACGTTTCAAAAAGTGGGGGGGGGGGGGTAAGCTCAGGGTGTACTTCAGGAACTTTTTCTTGGAAAGCGAGCCCGATGACCGGCGGGGGATAGGAATGGAGGTTGTTATCGTTCTTTATTCAAATGTCATGGCCGATATGCTAGATATGTGTCTAGAGCTGTTTATCACTGGTGCACAATCTTGCCTATTCGACTCATCTGTCGTTTGGCAAATAAGGCTTTCCAGTTTCCGTAGATTATTCGTCCATTTAAACATTGTCTTCCCTGGGGAGGCGAAATTCCACGAGGGGGTAAGCATTTTGGGTCATTAAGGCAGCATCTGCCCCCATAGCGTAGATGTCAAAATATGGTCTGGATATAGGCGGGTGAGAATTTTGAAAGTGGATCGATGGCTCACAGTGGGACAGATTTTTCACGCGCCTTCATTTCGCTGGCTGCTTTTCAAGAGATGAGACTTGTCGCAGCATTTTAGGCAGAAGCAAATTCGGGAGCTTGAAACTGCTAGAAACAATGTGACAAAAGCCATAAAACTGGAGATTTTCTGTTAAGAATCAAGCCACATAATAACGCCCATCTGCCATATGCTCCTTATCTAGGCCCTGCTCCTGTCCGCCGTCGGTGGCCACTACCCCGGCTCGGATGTCTCCCTCATGACTGACTGCAAAGTGATCGCATGGCTGCTTTGCCGCATACTTTTGGACTAGCGTTACTACTACATGGTGTATGGAACACGTGTTGGACATCTACAGCAATATCTTTTTCCGAACTGTCTTCCCTCACACGACGCTATCGCAGAAAAATAGCCTCCGGGAAGCTGTCTGCCTTAGGAATGAATTGGCCCAACGGACATTTCATTGCCCATCATGCGACGTATACGACTTGATTTGCTTTGTGTGTAGGCAGGGGCCTAGCCAGAGCCCTGCCAAGGGGGAACACAATGTTGACAAAAGTCCATTTTATGGTGCCCCCCTCCAAAAAAACCGGGTATAGCTTACTTGTTAACAAGTGACACAGTTTTCTTCGCCTTATTGCTATTTTCACCTTGTAACCAGAGCAGAAACCAGGAGCTACCGCGAGCTCAATTCTGTTTGTATTTTGAGGTCAATAAACTGCAGAAATCAGGCGTTGAACGACTGCATGGAATAAATCAACTGCGCTCTTAATTTACAATGGTTAGTTGGTTC